GTCAGCAACTGTCGGAAGAACACATGGCACATTAACTTAAAATTATCGATATTTAAAATTATAATGGAAACCTAGACCGCGTTTCTTACAAGATATATAATTTTACATATATTTCAATAGTTATCAATGGGTTAGAGCATTTTTATCCAAGTCTTATTTTCTTTATACATGTACATTTTCAGAGTTTAATCTCGTAAACCTGCCATATTTTATAGAAATTTACCTTGGACGGAAATCGGGACTCTACATTTGCTGCACTCAGCTTCTTCGTTATGGAAACGATAGGACTTTGGTTGACCTATAAAAAATATTAGTTCAAGCATGGTTACGACGTGGTAACTTAGTTCAGTATCTGGATGATATTTTTCAGTCAAATTTTATTACTTGATGAGAATGTTTTCATATTCACGATGAAGCATAATCAAAAATTTTGACTAAAACTTTTGCACACGTGTTTTAATGAAATTAGTATAATCATTTCACACTGCACCAGGCTAAGTAAAAATGACCGCAAAATTATAAAAAATAATACAATACTCTCATTCATATATGATTTTATTGCAAAAGTATGCCTTAACAAAGACAAAAAATTTCCCCTTCATTTACGGTCACGTGTTAAGTTCCAGACACAGAATTTAAGCATTCTAATCCACTTACAATTACGCGCCTCTGGCAGCCCCGCCTCATACTTTCATATCAAACGAGCGTTTAACTAATATTTGTCAGCCTCATCAGAATTTAACGTCACAATATTCATCGAAATATTATCAGTATAAATATTCTTCTTCAGGATAATGCATAGTTTTTCAGAATTCATCGCTGCAACATTACACTTCAGAATATTCTATTGCGTCAAAAAATCACACATCACTATATTGCTCATCAGAGTATAACACGCCGGAAATTCAAATAAGAATACCTCATCAGTATTAGACGTCAGAATATTGTTCTTCAGTGAAGTCGCCTCGCCAAAACTCTTTCGTAAGAACTTCTGTGTTCAACCTACCGTGACCGCACGATATTCACCTGACGTTTGTTCGTTGTTGCGTAACACGCGTGAGTGTAGGGTGGTGGTGGGCTAGCAACATAACCGTGGCGACCCTCTAAATGAACCCAACCAAACCCTACGACATAAACGACAAGAATCCTACCTAACCCCACCACATCACCTAACCCCACAGGCCCAGTGGTTAAAGTTCAGTACCAAGATTGGCGCAGAGAGGCGCGGGTTCGATCCCAGCTATGTGCGCCAGTTTCTGGTCAGAATCGGCAAGCAGAATTGTAGCTGTAAGTTGCGAGTTCAAGACCGCAAAATGCTGTGAACGTTCTGCGATGTTAAGAATCGGCGACAGGCCTACGGCCTAATAACGCTGAAACCGCTATTATTACTATTATTATTATTATCAACACAGACAAGAACCCTACCTAACCCCACCACATCAACACAGACAAGAACTCTACCTAACCCCACCACATCAACACAGACAAGAACCCTACACTACCTAACCCCACCACATCAACACAGACAAGAATCCTACCTAACCCCACCACATCAACACCTAACCCCACCACACCAACACAGACAAAAACCCTTCCTAACCCCACCACATCAACACAGACAAGAATCCTACCTAACCCCACCACATCAACACAGATAAGAACCCTACCTAACCCCACCACATCAACACAGACAAGAACCCTACCTAACACCACCACATCAACACAGACAAGAATCCTACCTAACACCACCACATCAACACAGATAAGAACCCTACTTAACCCCACCACATCAACACAGACAAGAACCCTACCTAACCCCACCACATCAACACAGACAAGACCCTACCTAACCTCACCACAACACAGACAAGAACCTTACCTAACCTCACCACAACACAGACAAAACCCTGCCTAACCTCACCACAACACAGACAAGAACCCTACCTAACCTCACCTGGCTCACCACAACACAGACAAGAACCCTACATAACCTCACCAACACAGACAAAACCCAACCTAACTTCACCACATCAACACGGACAAGAACCCTACCTAACCTCACCACAACACAGACAAAACCCTACCTAAACTCACAACAAAAAATGACAACATCAACACGGACAAGAACCCTACATAACCTCACCACAACACAGACAAAAACCCTACCTAAGATCACCACATCAACACAGACAAGAACCCTACCTAACCTCACCACAAGCACAACACAGACAAAAGCCTCGCATAATCCCTGAATGAACTATAAGTATTTTCGCGTGTTTACAATAACCGCAGTTGTATTTAATTCCTCAGTTGGTCCTAGTGCGGCCAATAGGCGCGTTTAAACGAAGTCTCCCGCCACTAATCAAATAAATGACTCAAATTGTCCAAATAGCGACCGGTCGGACACTTCAGCGGACTCGGCTGCGGACTGGCCTGTGGACTCGAATCAAAACCTAACCTGACGTTCAACTCGACCACCCATAAATCCGTCAATAATAGACGGATTTTATTCAAACTTGAAATATAGGTAGATAATATCAGTAATTTGTGGACAGAATTATTTCAGATTTTTAAATCAATTACTTTTTTCTAATGCCACAAAATACTGAAACTTGACCTGACTAGGACCTAACCTGCGAGGTGAACGTGAAGTTAGGTTTTCCGTATTAATAAAAAAGTAATTAATGTAAAAATGTAAAAACTTCAGTCCACAAATTACTGATATTATCTACTCATATTTCAAATTTGGATGAAATCCGTTCATTATTGATGGATTTATGGGTGGTCGAGTTGAAAATGAAGTTAGGTTTCCGTATTAATAAAAAAGTTATTGATGTAAAAATCTGAAAAAATTCCGTCCAAAAATTACTGATATTATCTACTTATATTTAAAATTTGAATAAAATCCGTCTATTATTGACGGATTTGAACGAGTTGAACGTCAAATTAGGTTTTGATTCGAGTCCGCAGGCCAGTCCGCTGAAGTGTAAATTCGGTCAAATAGCGACCCAATTTCATACCAAAAGCATGAGCAGAGCGTGGACGTAGCACTAATACGCCCTTCCGCCAGGCAAAACTGTTCTAGGATTATCCACAAACGTCCAAAACTTCATCTCTATTTGGATAAAGCATCACTCATTTCTCTGATAGTCTTTTGCGCTACCGCAACAACTACCCTGGCGATGGTTGGGAATTTACAAGGTTGGGTTACACAGAGCCACGTTTAGGTGATTATAAGAATATTCTAACAAATATAATAAATACAAGACAGAGACATCAATATTTATTAGAATATCAATGAATATTCTAATACAGTAAGGGGTCAGTTCACGTTACTTTCAGGCAGAGGTGGGCAGTAGCGGTGCTACATTTAAGCAATTGTAGCGGTAGCGACCGCTACATATTTAAGTAGCGATACGAGGTTTTGCCGCTACAGCGCTACCGCTACATTTATAGATAAAGCCTTTAGATATTACTTAATAGTATTAAATATTATTTAAAAACCCGCATGATACATACATAATATAAATTACAGAATAAAACTGTTCAAAAGATTTCGATGTAATGTTGTCAACCTCAGCCTGTTACTAGTGTCAACATATTAGTTGTTAGTCCAGAAGTTGGCAGTAGCGCGCTACATGTAGCGGCCGCTACATTTTCAGTAGCGGCGCAACATTTAAGCAACTATAGCGGTAGCGCCCGCGGCCCGCTACATTTAGAGCATGTAGCGGTAACTACATTTCAAAGTAGCGCTGCCCAGCTCTGCTTACAAGAGTGGGGAGCGACTATCATTGCTGGGTGACATGTTCTCACCCTGAGTGACATGCTCTTACCCTGAGTGACGGAAGCGAATAATTAACGTCATAATTGACATCAGCACCCATTTCTGATGACCATCCCCGGAGAGCACTCACCAAAATTGGCACCTATCAAAACCAGCCTCCATTCCTCATGAGCACCTACCAGAAATAAGCCTCCATTGATTCCTGATGGGCACCTACCAGAAATCAGCTCCCAATCTTGACGAGTCATAATTCTTTTCTGAAATAGCGCGCAATCCTATAATTGACAGACTGACGCAATTGTTACCACATGATTTCAATTACATTGTAATTACGTTCGATTTCATTTTCTGCGTTCCGGTCTCCGAATTCTGCGCATCATTCTTCTAAATTTGTCCATTCCAACCGACCATTTCTACGAATAATTCAGGTAATTCTCAAGAATTACTTCTTACATGCTGTGTATGTAGAGTTGATGTTCACAACTCTCGTCCGAACTAAGTGTCTTAGGAAACCAATGTACAGGATAACAAAACGTCGCATCAGTATCTAATTTATTGCCATCAGACTTAGTCCTCCAGATCACTCTCTCTCTCTGTATTGCCAGTATACTTGCTGTGTTACCAACTATCTTTCACTACCAGCTGTGCCCCGTCTGGTTACTTTTACACATACATTTTCATTGCATTTAAGCGCATTATTTTACGTCCTATAGCTTCAGTATAAGCGAGTTGATGGCACAATGGCGACGTGGGTGGAACATGTGAGGGTATAAATGAAACGCACACGTCAGGAATGTGTACTAAAGATGGAACGATCCTGCAGACAAACTACAGACGTTCACTCTAGCGAATGGTTGGATGACTAGTCGCTCTTTGTCTCAATTATGAGGCCAGTTATCGTTCACCTCCAGTCTGTCGTAGGTTTATCTGAGACCCACCTGATTTGTACTTGAGATTACCCTGAGGTAAACTTGAAATTAAACTAAATTAACGTGAGATTGAGCATAACCACGATTTATCCTGGGATGTACCTTGCATGGCCCCCGCTTATTTAGGGACGGCCAGTCGGCCACTGAGGACAAGTTCCGGGAAGCTCAGCTCATGGTCAACTCAGCCATTCATCCAACTCCGGTTGATAAAATGAGTACCTGGCTTGTCCAGGGTGTTGTGCAATTCAAAAATGGTTCTGGCGGCTCAGCAAGCCAGTGATGGTCGGAAAAACTGACCTAGTATCACCCCCTCCCTTACCTAGTTGCCACTACCAGGATGAGCAATCACACACAAACACATTTTTCGGGACGGATGTGCATCCCTTCAAGCGTGCCGCGCACCATTCAGCGAAACACCGTCAGAATGTTCAGCAACATTCAGCTCAACCTCCCCAAAATTCGGATCAGTTACACCATCTTTTGGATGAGGACTCGCCGCTTCATGTGGACAGTCCAGGCCCTCAGAGGACACCTCAGATGGGGACTGGGTTTCCTCAGGAGTGGAGCGGAGGGGTCTGTAGGACCCCAGCAAGATCTCCTTCAGGTCTTGCAGGCTGTCCTGTGCTACGGCCGCCCTGATGGCCTCCATGAACCCCAACATGTGGTGCAGGTTGTGCCTGTAGCAGGAGGTTATACATGAAAGGTTCATACCTCACCGAGGACCTGACATTGAAAAAGCATTGCTTGCTTCCCCAGGGGTGTTGCCTGGTGAAGCAACGTCATTTGCCTGGAAAGATTGTTGGTCAGGGTTGGGTGTTGTGGGTCCGCATTGCTGCATTTTATGTGTACATTGATTTAAATATGTAGATGTACAGTGAACAATGAGTGTGGCACGTACATTTGTAGTAGAACGGGCGCCAACATCTCGCGGCTGCTACAGAGGTGGTGAATGTAGCCTCTGGTGTAGCCGCTGCTGCAGGTGTAGCAGTTGCAGCCTGGAAGTAGCACGCTGCTGCTACCAGCGTAACTGTAAAACACGAGTAACACAGCTGTAACAGCTAGTTAATACATACTTGCAATTATTCAGAGCATACCTGTACAACAATAACACAAATGCTATGTCTTACAGCACCGACTGTACACCAGCAGCTGTGTACTTCACACAGAGCTCGTGTGTACACAGCACCTACCACGCAAGGTTGAGGTTCAGTTCGTACGGCCGCTCCTCGTCTTCCTCGTCTGACGTGGCGGCCGCGTCGTCGTGTCGCTTCTTGCGCTGCACAACGCACGTCACGCCTTGAGTGATGTCACGTCACCACCACNAACTTTTTTGAAAGTATAGGCCCCTGCAAGATAGTGCGTCACTAATATTGACACTATATGGACAATATGACATTGATTTTTATTGTTGCACCAAGGACGGCCGCCACACAGGCATCTCTGATTATATCGATAAGGTAGTTTACACTGCAGCGCGTACTCGCAATGACGTGATAACAGGGTGCGTTATCAGGCCATTCGAGCTGTTATCAGAAGAGAGGTAACATGGTCTTTCCGGAACTACGATTTGTGAAACATGAGGTAAATATTGGTTTATATATATATAACTGATGAAACTTATGATGAAAGAAACGGAAGAAAACACTTGGTCAAAGAAACTATACTAAAATATCTGACAAAAAAAACGGATGAATCCAATTGATGGATGGAGCAAAACCCACCCATTAAGAGAGAGGGAAGCCCACCCCCTCCACAGGGAGGGAAACCCACCCCCCTCCAGAGGGAGGGAAATCCACCCACTACAGAGGGAGGGAAACCCACCCTCCTCCAGAGGGAGGGAAATCCTCCCCCTCAGAGGGAGGGAAACCCACCCACCTCCAGAGGGAGGGAAACCCACCCTCCTCCAGAGAGAGGGAAACCCTCCCCCTCAGAGGGAGGGAAACCCACCCTCTCAGAGGGAGGGAAACTCACCCCCTCAGAGGGAGGGAAACCCACCACCTCAGAGGGAGGAAAACCCACCCCCTCAGAGGGAGATAAACCCACCCTCTCAGAGGGAGGGAAACCCTCCCCCTCAGAGGGAGGGAAACCCACCACCTCAGAGGGAGGGAAACCCACCCCCTCAGAGGGAGAGAAACCCACCCCCTCAGAGGGAGGGAAACCCATCCCCTCAGTGGGAGGGAAACCCACCACCTCAGAGGGAGGGAAACCCACCGACTCAGAGGGAGGGAAACCCACCCTCTCAGAGGGAGGGAAACCCACCCTCTCAGAGGGAGGGAAACCCACCCCCTCAGAGGGAGAGAAACCCACCCCCTCAGAGGGAGGGAAACCCATCCCCTCAGAGGGAGGGAAACCCACCACCTCAGAGGGAGGGAAACCCCACCCTCTCAGAGGGAGGGAAACCCACCCTCTCAGAGGGAGGGAAACCCACCCCCTCAGAGGGAGGGAAACCCACCCCCTCAGAGGGAGGGAAATCCACATCAAAGTCGACAGCTTGGTATCCGATATAACAAAGTAACTATATCATTAATTAACTAGGCACCCAATAATGTCCACAATTGTAATACCTTGTAATTTAGAATCCATTACACGCGAATAGTGTCACTACTGTCCATTTTCAACAGGACACAAACAGTAGTTTATTTCAGCACCAACATCGATAGGCATCCATCCAGCCTCTAACGTCAATGCCACCTTCCCATCAAAGTCGCCACAGCACTTATGTCGCCAACCTCCAATTGAAACGATCTATTTTAACAGCTTATAAGGCTTAACTACAACTTTCTAGCGCGATCGAAAGAGCTCCGTACTCAGTAGTCATTATGTGATAATCCCTAACTAATGTGCCTATTTCTTCAGTGCGGATACTTTTTTTCTATTCTTTATTGTATGTAATGGTGCGTCTGACTTAACTAGAGTAAAGTTGAGTGCAATATCTGCTAAGTGGCAACTCAAGTGTAGTATCTGCTGAGTGACGACTCGTGTCATTGAGGTACACTTGAGAAGATCACGTGTCATGCGACGTCGTGACATACATCATTCATAACAGTATACCTGCATCAACACAGTAACATTGATGCTTTGAACCTTACTTCAGCGGTAGCGACGTAGTGCAAGGAGAGGTCTGAGCGGCTGTGAGTCGGTTAGTCAGTCGTGTCCCGCCAGCCCTACAGTGAGGTTCATACCTGTACTCACTTCACTCTAGCAACTCTCAGCGATTCCTTGCTCTAACGCTGGAGTCGTGGCTGTGCCGTGAAAGATTTAGTAAACTGCTCCTCTACCATGAACCTGATCTCACTAGTTTAGCTTTTAAACGTGCCTGTTTAAACTGTGCTTTGCTGAAATAAAACTACGTTTTATCCGTGTTACCGAAGTTTTAATGGACATCCCAGTGCAATAAAATGCAATTGAACTTTTTACAAGATAGTTGCCGGCGTTCGGCCGTGGAGCTTTGAGCATTCAGACAAGATTAAAGGTTGCGGCAGGCGTCCGGTGACACCACCAGCCCTGTTGCTTAACGGTATTCCCACCAGGACCTGTTACCTAGTGATATACTTGCCGTTCCAAATGATATTAACCATGCAGATTTCAGTAATGGCGCTATAATTATTTAACATCGGAACATGTTTTAGCAGCAGATAGTGTTGCCTGACTGACCAAAGGAAGGAGACGTAGAGCAATAGTACCTTAAATTCATTAGAATCTATGGAAGGATAGTATTGAGGAAGAGGAGTGAGGGCTTCTGCAAGAGGAAGTCAAGGAACAAATGTGCCATGGGACGCGTCATCGACAACTTTGCAATTCGTGACTAACGAAGGAAGCCCTCAGAAGGGCTAGGACTCACAAGAGAAGCCCTGAGAAGGGTTAGGACTCACAAGAGAAGCCCTGAGAAGGGTTAGGACTCACAAGAGAAGCCCTGAGAAGGGTTAGGACTCACAAGGGAAGCCCTGAGAAGGGTTAGGACTCACAAGGGAAGCCCTGAGAAGGGCTAGTACTCACAAGGGAAGCCCTCAAGAGGGTGCGGAGGGACTGGTCAGGGTTGAGAGTCTCTGCCTCAGCCCCGAAGCCGGACAGCCCACCGAGAGTGTATCCGACGACACGCGTCGCCCCCGCGTCCTGTAACCAGGGGCATGTGAGAGAGACAGGTACGGCCAAGTCATGACAGAACTCACCAATACAATGTATTATTTCAAAAGGCAAAGGATATAAACATACTTGCTTCAGCAGTATAGAGTATAGACAAAGAGAAAGGAAATAACATACTTGCTTCAACAGCCTCTTGACTTTATCGGCCCAGCGTTGGCGTTGCTCCAGCACCCAGCCCCCCAGCAGCGGCACCAGCAGCCCTACATGTCTCCCCTGGGCAGCGTGCAGGCATTCCTCGAGGTATTTATATGAGGAGGCGAGACTCTTGGCAAGCCTCTTGTTACTGCACTGTGGGGGAGTATCCGCGTCGTGCAGTGCCTCACACCATACAGCATCTACTGCATCCACGAGCTGCATGTACCTGCAGTGTAATGGATGATGTACACATCACACTGCATCCACGAGCTGCATGTACCTGCAGTGTAATGGATGATGTACACATCACACTGCATCCACGAGCTGCATGTACCTGCAGTGTAGTGAATGATGTACACATCACACTGCATCCACGAGCTGCATGTACCTGCAGTGTAATGAATAATGTACACATCACACTGCATCCACAAACAGCACACAGCGACCTCACCATCAACATACATGCAGTTTGCCATTTAGATATTCTCACTCTATAGTCTATACACAATCATAACATGTAACACTTGTCCAGGGCACACTATATAATATATGTAGCTAGGGCAAGTTAACCATCAATCATAGGTAATAATTACATATTTTCTCCTGAGCTGAAAGTTAACACAACACTTACTTGTGGCAAAGCAACAGTACACAAACAGAAAATTGAAGATTAGAACAGGCAAGAATAAAACTACATCATAGTCCATTGCTCTTAACTAATGTTATGGATAAGGTGTGAAATATAAGGTTATTTTCTTATTATTTGAAGTTCAGTTATTTGAAAAGATACAATATGTATCACAATATTGCATGCAACTCTTGCGTTCTCAAAATGTTGGCAATAAAAACAACATACGCAAATGTTCACATTTATACACGTGCGATTGATGATTAGAGAATTCTTTGATTTGAATTAACAGGGAGTGGAATAATTCTTCAAATGACGGTATATTAAAAGGCAAGTTTCTGGAAGTAGTTTTTGTTTATTAATGACACTTTGAATGCAACAAACATTCATTTTAAGAAGACAACACACATTCTTCATTAAACATTCTTCACATTCAAACATTCTTCATTAAAAAGAAGCATTAAATATTGAAATTTATGTGGAAACAAAGGTTTAAACAAGCTTTAAATCAACGAATTCTCTTGTCATCATCGTCAATTGCACGTGTATAAAGTATAAACAAGTTAATTCTGCCATCTAATACAAATGTTCAAATATGCACAAATAATTCATGTACCTACACATCACATGACACATGTAAAGATACACTTGACTGTGGGTGATGAAAGTGATGCATAGCAATCAAACATTGACCTGCAATTGAAATTTGACCAGCTCATTGCCCTGAGTTCCTTCCACATTAATAATGACAACAATCTTTTCTTCTTATTGGTTTTCAAAAGCTTTCTTGGTATTAAGACTCACATTTTGGGCTTGAGGTAAGCCCTGCCACTGCAACCACAACTCACATTTTGGGCTTGAGGTAAGCCCTGCCACTGCGAGTCCACACGCTCACGCCCTGGGAGTTGTTGTAGCCGCCTCTGGGGGCTGTCAGAGAACACTGAGCTGTGGCTAACACGCAGTGTCCCTGCAAGATTAAATCTTTTGATACAGAGCAAAAAATCAATAATAGCCTATACATAATAATCAGAGAAGAAAGAAGGATTGAATGAGACTAGAAAATTAGATGTCTGAAGACTGACCCATACCTATCAAACTTTATGTTCTAAAAATGTAAATGAAATTCATGAATAGATACCTAGAGAACTAATGTGTCATATAAGGAGAAAACTTCACAAAAGATGAAATTAAATCCTCTTAGCAAATATTTTGGCTTGCATTGCAAATAAGTAATGTATACATGGCCACAGGAAAAATATTCATTAAATTTGAGAGACAATTATATATAGCCAATGTTGACTTGCATTCTCTCATCATATATAAGCAAGTCAACTATATCTATGGTATGTTTCATTAGTGACTGCTACATTCAAATGAATAGTAGCATTGAGACAAGGCCACTTTTAGGATTTCCAGTCACTGAAAAACTTGCATTATCACTTGTGAGTGGATAAAATGTTTTAGGCACCAACATCACATTTAAGTTGAGTCATAAATGCTGCTAGTGAACTTCTCTTATAAAGTAAGAATTTATTGAACTTTTTAGCTGAAAAGTCCCAGGATTTTATGACTCACAGGAAGTCCCACAAATGAAGTAAACCCTTTATTGTATGCCAGGAGAGCCTCGTGAGAGTTGAGGAAATGCTGCACGGGTACGGAGAGCACAGGTTTGCCCGGCTCCAGGCTCTCGTGTGTTGCTTTTGTTTTGGCTGCCGGCGCTGCACTGTGTTTCCTGCTGCTGTCGAGCACACGCTCTAGAGCATCCTGTTGTTTTGGAGCATAAATTACAGCATAGCAGGTAAAAACTTCCAAGTAAGTTGTTCAAACTGATGAACAAGCTGTTAAAATAGGCAATATACCAACAATTGAGTAAAAATTCTATACAATTTGCCTACGCTTCAAATGATAGAGCATAAGTTTCTTTAGCAGACTGAATACAATACAAATGGTTCAATATATTCTGCACATGATTAGAGGCCAAAATATCAGGTACGTATTTAGATAATTCAATATGTATAAAAAAATTCAAGAACAGCTAAATCTACAACAGAAAAATTTTTATTCATGAATAAAGTTAAATTTTTATTTCACATTTAAATGTATAACAGCTGAATCTCAATGCTAAATTTTTACACAGAAAAGTATAATTCCTTTTACTAGACCTTGCATAAGATTTTCCATCAATAAAAAATACACATGTATAACTAAGTGACCAAGAAAATTTTGGGATTAGCAAATGTTACCATAGAGAAATTTTGAAATTATTTTCTTGAGTGAAATTCTCCTGGTTAACAATAATTTCTATATTATTACCTGTATTATATTATTAATTCCTGGAAAACTTTCTTATTATATAAAATTTTTGATTTGGTAAAATAGAAAATACCTCTATAAATAATCAGTATATACAACTATTTTTTTTCAGTTAAACTGCTTTGTATCATCAAAATTATTCTATCAAACCCTAAATTTATTTCCTTGAAGTAAACCCAAGGCCAAATGTCTAACCTTAGTCAGGTGAGGGACGCTTCCAGTCTGCGTTGTCAATAACATCATCGGTGTTGGAAGTTTACACTCACAGCCATTGTTTGAGGCACGTATATAACCTAGTCTTCCACTAGTGGCTGTGGCACGCTCTAAAACAAATTTCATGATCACAGCCACACTATACTGTAGTATGTCTTCTATTAATTAAAGTCTTTTAAATATGATTAGGCAGTTGGAAACACAAACTCAACAATTTTAACTTACAAAACATAAAATATAGTTCTGTAAAATAAAAAAAAAATTTCCTGTTTTTATAAATTTATTTGGCACAAAATCAAGCATGTCAACACACTAAAGTAAATAGGCAAATTAATGAAGAAATTTGAACTGAAGGTAATAAAATCTGTTGTTGCTGGTAGATCCTGCACTACTAACCTCTCATCTATGTTGAATGATTGATCAAGAACTGAGCCTTCTGGACAAGAGGGAGCCAGTGGATGTGGTGTACCTCAATTTGCCAAAGCATTTGAAAATATTCAACATAAGCAGCTGATGCATAAAGTCTTTGGAAATAGAGGGAAATTTACTCCAAAGACTCAGAGATTTTCTAGTAGATAGACAACAACGTGTCAGTATCAATGGAACAGAATTAGACTGGGCAATGGTGCGCAGTAGATGAAAGTGTTCTTGGGCCGTTTTTTTGTTACTTTTAAAAACTATCTGCCCGTAGTAGTGTCAAGTGTGTGCTCTATGTATGCTACCGTTACAAACGTTCATTATACAGTTAAGGATGCATCAAATTAAGTACGATTGCAAGGTGATCTTGATAGTTTGTGCAAGTGCACAAAGTGCAACTGCAAGGTGATAGTACGTGGCAGTTTAATTTTAATGCTGATATGTGCAAAGTAGTTCACATTGGGAAGAACAATGAACAGCAAAAACAAGATGATATTGTTGCAAGATGAGAGTAATGGTCAAAAAGTCTAGCATGGAAAAAATGCAAGTTTTTGTTGACAAGGAGCTGAAATTTTCTAGGCATATTGAAACACAAGCTGATAAATCCAATAGACTTCTTGGACTGATCAGACCCACTTAGGAGTATTCAGATGCAGAAGCAATGAAGCGTTTACTTGTCTTTGTGGTGCGCCTGAACCTAGAGTTTAGAAATAATGTGTGGTCACCGAAACTTGAAAAGAATACAAATTTAGTAGAGTGTTCAAGGACATGGAACTAAGATAACTCCAGGCTTGAAGGGTAAGTCTTACAAAGAAAGATTAAAGATTATGAAGTTTCCAAACCTTTTCAAGTGTACTCATGGTTTATACAAGGTCCCATAGAGATTAATAGAATTTGAAACAAGAACCAACACCAGGGTATACAAACTAAGATCTAAAAAAATATAACTCAGTACTCACTGCAGTGAGTGACAGAGAGTGCATTTTCTCGTTGACAAAAATTTGAGGTCATGGACGGACATGTCGAGCACAATAGTGCATTTTTTCCATAAATGAGAAAATGCGCTTAAAAATTAAACAAGAACCAACACCTGGGCTATAAGCTAAAAAAATTTGCAACGCATGGACACAACTAAGCTTCTTCTCACTTCGAGTCACTGACATGTGGAACAGCCTCCATGATTACATTGTTGATGCTCCAAGTATGAATGTGTTCAAGAACAGAATAGATGAAGTTATGGAGGAATATATGTTCAGACTTAAAAAGCGTAGAACCACATCAAACTTTGCGGAAATTTGGTAGCTTTTCAAAATAATGTCAGTTTTGAAAAGATCCAGTCAAAGGACTGGTTCTGTGATTTGACACTTTGATTGGGAACAGGCCACATGAGGCTTATTCTTCAGTGCTGACATCTCTATATTATAGAAAATAAATAGCATTTAAATGATAAAACCTAAAAACATTATAGGTACTAATTTAATTGTTTGTGTGTTATTATAGAGTTGAGAAGAGTTTTAGGACAGCTTGCTGACTGCAACGTAGTGTTGCTTTTGAATGCAACACATGTGTAGATATAGTCAAATAACACATTTTCAGTGTTTTGCAAGGTTAAAAATGCCTTTTGAAAATGATATTCATCCCAAATGAGACAAGACAATGCTACTTGATTAATTTGCAGAACTCGTTCTGCTATAGGACTTCATGGATCTAGTGACAACCAATCAATATTCTAGTGACAAACTGACAACCATCATATTTTTTGGAGAAACAAATAATATTTTAGGTTAATTACTTTTCATTTTATGTTGCCCGGTGCACAATTCTATCTATGACATTCTCTGCACAATTTTGTGATGACTGATGACTGATGATGCATTAATATTCCTTTAAGTGAAACTTTTTGGCTGAGCAGTGAGCAAGGTGTAAACATAATCAAAATTTTTTACTGTTAATTGATTTTTTGTTAACTGGAGCCTCTGCTAGCCAAGGTTCTTCTGTAAATGCATTTTTAGTGGTGTCCTTTATTACCGCATCCTCATCCTGCAGAAATGGCTGCCTCTTCTAGAATGAGATATGCAAATTCCATCAATCACATTTTTTAAGCCAACTCCTGCGTGCAACTTTTATGCAAGTAAAATTTTTGATATGACAAATATTTTTTTGTTGCTACAAACCTTAGCAGAAACTGTACATTTCCAAAATCTCAATTTTCACACTTTTTCAGAGATTTTCTAGAGTAAATTTATGGTTTCTTAACTTGCTCTATGGCTTATGCTACATAGATAGTAAATATGTTGAACTTTACTCCAATATTATAGATAGTAAATATGTTGAACTTTACTCCAATATTTTTAGTTTTGCAATATTTTGATTAGTTTAGCTACTACATTTCTACTAATTGTACGACAACTGTCCCGATTTACCTTGCCCGTCCCTTATTACCCCGTTTGACAGTGGTGAAATTTGTCAAGTGCTAGTAAGCGTCAGCGCCTAGAGCTAGGCAGCCTACTGAGCCTAGGCTAGGGATGGCAGCTGCAGTTCCCACAGAGCCCAATCATTGGCCAGACTTGGTCTTCGGTGATGCAGTACCACTAGGCCTCCTTGTAGTACAAATATCATTAATTTATTATCATCATTATATATCCTGTATTTGTATTAAAATTTATTATTATCATTTATCCTTAGGTAATTTTATTTTATTAATTAATTTTTATTAATGTTATTTTGTATTAATTTTATCATTTATAAATAATGTATTCATCATTTATTCACAATTTATTCATCAAACTGGAATTTATTCTGTTCAATCCTGCTCCTGCCTTCTGGTGAATTTATATCATTCATATCAATCAGTCAACCCCATTTCCCACTATTCCCAGCCTGCCAGTGCCCCCAGACCCACACGCCCCACCCACCTGGCTTAGCTGGCTGCTGGTCTGGTATTATGGATGGTATATCAATGCATAAAATACTTTGCAAATAAAATCAGAAGGAATTACAGAATACAGATGTCATACAGTACTTAGGTCAGATTTCCAGGGATTTATTGCTTACAGAAAAAATCATTAATAATCTGTTCTGTTCTTCAATAGGTTAATGGAGTGCTGCGCCTTGGACAATTCACTCTGGAAGCAGCAGTTTGTCAACAATTAGGGGTCAAAGCGGTGGGTTGAACTGAAGAAGTTTTCCACAGCTCTGCAGGTCTGGGACCAGGTAGGGCTGCTGGTGGTATCTCCTCCCAGTAGGGTTCCAAGACTGAGTACAAGTATCCCCTGGGAGTTTATCTGACGTCGCAGTTGGGAGCGGGCTTCAGCATACTCTGTGCAGACTATGAGATAGTGATGTGCTGTTTCTGGCACTTGGCATGAAGGGCAGAGTGGTGATGGGGCTTGGCAAATCTGGAAGAGAGACTTGTTTAGTGGAGCAGTGCCGAGTCGTAGTCGGGCAAAGAGGGTCTCGAATCTGCAAGTCTGCAGCATGCGATGAGCCCATGGGTGAACTGATGGCTTGATCATTCCCAGAGCAAACTGTCCTCGGAATGATGTCAACTTTGCTTGCCAAAATTTCCAGATGCTACGATGTACCACTGACTTCAGCTCAGAGAAATCAAAAGGGACTTGTGCTGTCTGGTCTGCAGACGTGGCTGCATGCTTGGCGGCTTTGTCCGCTGCCTCGTTTCCCTGCAGACCCGCGTGACTTGGTACCCACTGCAAGTGAACTGCTCCTGTTGGCAACTGATGAAGGTGCGCTTGAATGGCGGCCACGAGCTGAGTGTAGCTGCTGGGGAATGCTTGCTGAAGAAGCTGTAGTGATGAACGGCTATCCGTGCAAATAACTGCAGGCAGTGTGCAGTTGGCGGATAAGTATTTCAAGGTTTGGAGGATGCCGTAGAGTTCGGCTGCAACGATTGTGTGGCAGGGGTCAAGGCGCCATCCTCTGATGTGAGACAAGGATGGGATTACCATTCCCAAGCCTACAGATTGTGGGGGTCCTGCTGATACGGAGCCATCGGTGAAGATGAGGCAAAATCCCGGGAATCGAGTGGCGCATACGTCGCTGAAGATAGCTGTTGCTGCTCCATCCACCTCTTGATAGGACTGATTTGAGAAGTCGAGGTGTATCACTGGAGTGAGGGCACTCCATAGTGGGAGGTCTGTGATGAGTGGAGAAGGCGAGGAGGCCGGAAGGGCTATCTGGAGTCTGGAAAGGATATCCAGAGCTCGTGAGAGTAGCGGTAATTTGTGGAGATGGGTGCAAAATGGTGCTATGTGGAGGTATCTGTCGCGGTGGTAGAGAGCGTGCACTGGGTGGGCTGGGTGACGGCTCAGAAGCTGCAGGTAGAACAAGGCTATGCTGCGATTTCAGTGAATTTCTGGTGGAAGCAGCCCTGCTTCGCAGTATAGTGAGGGCAGGGGGGTAGATCTCCATGAACCAACAATCAGGCGTGCTGCAGTGGAGTGGATAACGTCCAGTCTTGATAGAAGAGTTGGCGATGCAGAAGAGTAGATAGGGAGTCCGTAGTCTGTATATCCTCTGATGTAGGTCTGGTAAAAACGTAAGAGAGTCACTCGCGAGCCACCAAAGTTGGTTCCACTCAGGACCTTCAGTATATTCAGACGTTTCTGGCAACGGGTTAGAAGGTTGTTTATGTGCTCCTTCCAAGTCAGAGTAGGCGCATCCAAGGTAAGCCCCAAAAGGCGGTGGTGATGGGTCATTTGAATGTGTATGTCTGCAATGTGTAAGAGAAGGAGAGGTTGGACATTTTGCTTTCGTGTAAATATTTGGAAAGCTGATTTGGCAGGATTTAGTGTCAATGACCAGCTGCTCACCCAGGCTACAAATACGTCTATGGCCTGCAGCAGCCTAAGTCCCACCTCTGCTACAGTGTCAGCCACAACATAC